AGCCGCCGCAGATCAATACTAGACCTCGCCATCCCTTGCGGGATGCGATTTGCGAAGCTGTCGCAACTTTTGAGGGCTGCTTGGGGGGGCAACATAGTGGGGTCATCCCTGGCGGGCTACGATTTGCGAAGCTGTCGCCACGTTCGACGGCTGCTGGGGGGACAGCATAGTTTGTAGGCGTGACCTCGCCGACCCTGGGGGGCTGCGATTTGCGAAGCTGTCGCCACTTTCGAGGGCTGCTTTGGGAGGCAGCAGTGGGTGATAGCCGCCGCAGACCCAAAGTAGACCTCGCCATCCCCGGGGGGGGGGGGGCTGCGACCTGCAAGACCATCGCCATTTTCGAGGGATGCCCGGGGGGGACAGCATAGTGGTAACCGCCGCAAACCCAGATTAGACCTCGCCATCCCTGGGGGGCTGCGATTTGCAAAACTGTCGCCATGTTCGAGGGCTGCTTGGGGGGCCAGCATAGAGGGTAGCCGCCGCGGACCCAAATTAGACCTCGCCATCCCTGGGGGGCTTCGATTTGCGAAGCTGTCGCCACTTTCGAGGGCTGCCTGGGGAGGCAGCATAGTGGGTGGTAGCCGCCGCAGATCAAAATTTGACCTCGTCACCCCTGGGGGGTTGCGATTTGCGAAGCTGTCGCAATTTTCGAAGGCTGCTTTGGGGGGGCAGCATAGTGGGTAGCCGCCGCAGATCCAACTTCGACATCGCCATCACTGGGTGGGCTGCGATTTGCGAAACTGACGCCACGTTCGAGTTCTTCCCGGGGGGGGGGGGAACAACATAGTGGGTAGCCGCCGCAGACCCAACTTATGCCTCGCCATCCCTGCGGGGGCTGCGATCTGCGAAACCGTCGCCACTTTCGAAGGCTGCTTAGGGAGGCCAGCATAGTGGGTAACCGCCGCATATCCAAAGTAGACTTTGCCATCCCTGGGAGGCTGTGATCTGCGAAACCGTCGCCACTTTCGAGGGATGTTTGATGGGCTCGGCAGCCGCCGCAGATCCAAATTAGACCTCGCCATCCCTGGGGGGCTGCGATCTGCGAAGCTGTCGCAACTTTCGAGGGCTGCTTGGGGGGGCCAGCATAGTGGGCACCCGCACATATCCAAAGTAGACCTCGCCATCCCTGGGGGGCTGCGATTTGCGAAGCTGTCGCAACTTTCGAGGGCTGCTTTGGCGGGAATGCATAGTGGGTAGCCGCCGCAGATCCAAATTAGACCTCGCCATCCCTGGGTGGGCTGCGATTTGCGAAGCTGTCGCCACTTTCGAGGGCTGCTTGTGGGGGCAGCATCGTTGGTGGTAGCCGCCGCAGATCCAAAGTAGACGTTGCCATCCCTTTGGGGCTGCGATTTGCGAAGCTGTCGCCATGTTCGAGGGCTGATTGGGGGCCAGCATAGTGGGTAGCCGCCGCAGATCAAAGTAGACCTCGTCATCCCTGGGGGGAGGCTGCGATTTGCGAAACCCTTGCAACTTTCGAGGGCTTTGGGGGAAGCCACGTATAGTGGGTAGCCGCCGCAGATCAAAATCAGACCTCGTCATCCCTGGGGGGCTGCGATTTGCGAAGCTGTCGCAACTGTCGAAGGCTGCTTTGGGGGGCCAGCATAGTGGGTAGCCGCCGCAGATCCAAATTAGACCTCGTCGTCCCTGGGGGGCTGCGATTTGTGAAATTGTCGCCACTTTCGAGGGCTGCTTGGGGAGCCAAGTATAGTAGGTAGCCGCCGCAGATCCAAATTAGACCTCGTCATCCCTGGGGGCTGCGATTTGCGAAGCCGTCGCAACTTTCGAGGGCTGCTGAGGGGGCCAGCGTAGCGATCTGCGAAACTGTCACCACTTTCGAGGACTGCTGGCGGGTCCAGCGGAATGAGGCACCCCGCAGATCTGAGCAGGACCTCGCCGTCCTTGGGGGGCTGCGATCTGCGAAACCGTCGCTACTTTCGAAGGCTGGTGGCGGGTCCAGTGGAGTGAGGCACCGCGCAGATCTTAGCGGGACCTCGCAATCCTTGGGGAGCTGCGAGCCTCACGAAAGCCGTTCGCAGAAGTATATGCGCCCATGTCACGTCATCACCGTCTCCCAAGCTGCTCATGCCCCGCATTGCGCAGGGGTTGGGTACGTCGCCAGGGTATTTGTCACTCCTATTTCGGCCCTCCATGTGCATCTGAACATCCCTGCACGCCTGCACGCCTTGGCTTCATCGCTCGCCTCCAGGCTGGGCGTGTTCCTGCACGCTCGCTTGCCTAGCGCAGCCACCGACTCGCGCCGCCATGTGGAACGGACGCAAGTCTGCATCCCATTCTAGCTCTCGCTGTGGTGATGACACTCGGCCGGTGGAAAAAAAAAAAAGTGTGTGCCTACGCATCTTTGGACCCAGTCGCCTCCCGCTTCTCGCCCCGGCTCGCCTTCGTCGGTTTTTTCCCGGAAAGGGCATGGGCCCAGGGTTCTCTTTTAGTGGGTAAACCTGTCCCCCGGTGCCAACTTGAAGGAGGCCGGCGAATTTTTTCCCTGATAAATATCGAGGTCGAAGGAGGCCGGCGAATTAAAATTTGAGGATGTCTCGAGCGAAACGCTTGTTTTTGAAATCCCGATCGATAAATCACAGGGTGCGGGACACCTCAGCACGACCACACCTTCAGCATGACCACACATCAGCACGACCACGCCCAGCACGACCACGCCCCAGCACGACCACACCCCAGCACGAACACACCTCAGCACGACCACACCCCAGCACGACCACACCCCAGCACGACCACACCCCAGCACCAGCACGACCACACCCCAGCACGACCCGATCGATAAGTCACAGGGTGCGGACCACCCCAGCACGACCACACCCCAGCACGACCCCACTCCAGCACGACCCCACCCCAGCACGACCACGCCCCAGCACGACCACACCCCAACACGACCACACTTCAGCACGACCACACCCCAGCACGACCCCGACCCAGCACGACCCCACCCCAGCCCGACCACACCCCAGCACGACCACACCCCAGAACGACCACACCCCAGCCCGACCCCACCCAAGCACGACCCCACCCCAGCACGACCACACCCCAGCAGGACCACACCCCAGCACGACCACATCCCAGCAGGACCCCACCGCAGCAAGACCACACCCCAGCACGACCACACCCCAGCACGACCTCACCACAGCACGACCACACCCCAGCACGACCACGCCCCAGCACGACCACGCCCCAGCACCACCACGCCCCAGCACGACCCCACCCCAGCACGACCACCCCCCCAGCACGACCACACCGCAGCACGACCACCCCCCAGCACGCCCACCCCCCAGCACGACCACTCCCCAGCACGAGCACACCGCCTTGGTTGAGTGGTTGCCTGCACGACCACACCCCAGCACGACCACACCCCAGCACGACCACACCCCAGCACGACCACACCCCAGCACGACCACACCCCAGCACCAGCACGACCACACCCCAGCACGACCCGATCGATAAATCACAGGGTGCGGACCACCCCAGCACGACCACACCCCAGCACGACCCCACCCCAGCACGACCCCACCCCAGCACGACCACGCCCCAGCACGACCAGCACGACCACACCCCAACACGACCCCACCCCAGCATGACCCCACCCCAGCACGACCCCACCCTAGCACGACCACACCCCAGCACGAACACCACCCCAGAACGCCCAGAACCGACCACACCCCAGCCCGACCACACCCACCACGACCCCACCACCAGCACGACCACACCCCAGCACGCCACCACACCCACAGCAGGACCCCACCCCGGCACGACCTCCACCCCAGCAAGACAAACACCCCACACAGACCACACCCCAGCACGACCTCACAACAGCACGACCAACCCCAGCACGACCACGCCCCAGCACGACCACGCCCCAGCACCACCACGCCCCAGCAAGACCACCCCCCATAACGACCACCCCCCCAGCACGACCACCCCCCAGCACGACCACCCCCCAGCACGACCACACCCTAGCACGACCACTCCCCAGCACGACCACACCCCAGCACGACCACACCCCAGCACGACCACACCCAGTCGCACCCCCGTGGAATGTTTCGTGGCGTGTCTGGTTGAGTGGTTGCCTGTTCGTGGGGTGTCTCGTGGACTGTTTCACGGGGTGTCGCGTGGAATGTTTCGTGTGGTGTCTCGTGGAATGTTTCGTGAGGTGTCTCGTGGGATGTTTCGCGGGGTGTCTCGTGGGATGTTTCGTGGGATGTCGCCCAGTTGGGTATCGTGAAAACGTGACCATGCTGCACATGTCTTTATCCCTTTCCGGGTTCGTGGGTCCATCATGTTCACATTGCGGCCAGCGTGTCGAACATCACGCGCGTGCACCTGCGTGCACCATCGAGGCGCTGAAGTAAGGGCCACTTCGGGCTCCTGAGGCGGCTCTGAGGTTGCCGGGCCGCTCCCCAGATCCAGGGCGAGGCTCCTATCGGGGGCCGAGGCTCGCCGAGGCCAGCAGAGCACCCTCGTTGCCTGTTCGGCGCCCTCTGTGGTAGCACGGTGGCTGTACGTGCAGCGTGTAGCGTGTGGCCACCCTCCCGTGTGGTGCCTCGGGTTTCGTGAGGTGTCTCGTGGGATGTTTCGCGGGGTGTCTCGTGGGATGTTTCGTGGGATGTCGCCCAGTTGGGTATCGTGAAAACGTGACCATGCTGCACATGTCTTTATCCCTTTCCGGGTTCGTGGGTCCATCATGTTCACATTGCGGCCAGCGTGTCGAACATCACGCGCGTGCACCTGCGTGCACCATCGAGGCGCTGAAGTAAGGGCCACTTCGGGCTCCTGAGGCGGCTCTGAGGTTGCCGGGCCGCTCCCCAGATCCAGGGCGAGGCTCCTATCGGGGGCCGAGGCTCGCCGAGGCCAGCAGAGCACCCTCGTTGCCTGTTCGGCGCCCTCTGTGGTAGCACGGTGGCTGTACGTGCAGCGTGTAGCGTGTGGCCACCCTCCCGTGTGGTGCCTCGGGGGGGCGCGCCCGACCTCTCGAGCCGAGGATCGCAGTTCAGGGGCACCATCGTGATTCCCGGGGTCTTGCCGCCAGACGAGGAGCAGGAAGAGGAGGCCGTTCAGGGGCAGAGGATGAGTGCTGTGATTTTTGTTCAGGGGCAACGCTAGGCGCTAGGGGGGGATCGCCTCAGGGAGGGACGCATCGACTCCCAATCGCACGTTGATCGCCGATCGGGGCCCGATAGCCCGCCCCGCCCAGGAAGAAGCGGATTCGATTTCGGAGGCCTATCGCCGATCTGTCGGCGATGTATCGCCGAGTCCGGGTCGATGTTCCCCCCCCAGCCCCCCGTGAGCCGGCTCCCCCCTAACGTCCTTTTGCAGAGACACGTCATGAACGTTGATTTTCGTAGTTTTGCGCGGATTTCTTGGATCGGCGCTGGGCTTCTGGGCTTCCCTGGCGGCGCTTCCAGCGCCACCCCTGGCGCGCGAAGCGCGGACCAGCGCCAATCCAAGAAATCCGCGCGGAGCTGCGGAAGCATATGCTTATGCTTTTGTCTCCGTTTTCATGGTTGTATCGCTTGGAAAGAAGTCATAGCTCGCCCGCCGAACGAACCAGTAAGCATCGGTAATGAAGCATGGTTTTCACGGGCTGGGCAGCAGACCGCCCATGAGCAGAGTCAGAGCAGCATGGGGAGAAGCGGAGGAGCAGGAGGAGGAGGAGTTGATTGAGGCTGACGAGGAGGGTTTGGGAGGAGCAGTGAGGGCGCGAAGCAGTATTGCAGTGTGTGGCTATAGTGCGGCTGCATTCCCACAACGGGGTGTTCGGCATTCGGCCTAACGAACGGAGGGTGTTAGTTAGTGCCCTGAAGGCGAGCGGCTTCAAGGGCACGGAGGGAGGGATGACGGAGAGCACGAGGGGCCATTCGGGCGCGTCAAGGGGCGCCGAGGGGGTCAGGAGCCCCCGCTCCCTGGACCGCAGACGGGGTCGGGCACCAAGGGTGTCTCATGGGAGAAACGAAAGAGGGAGACACCTTGCCGTTGATCATGGTCTCTGCTCCTTCTCCTCTTTCTCCCCGTCTTTCTTCATCTCATCCTGAAGTACCCCATCTTCCGCACGAACGGCCCCCCGAGGTCTGTTGCGAGGCCGTTTTCGGGCGGCTGGATCGGACGGGTGCGGCGGACCTTGAGTCAGAAGGTCGAGCCAGGTTGGGACAGGTTGATTCTTAGGCTTACGCCACACCGCCAACCCCTTTGTTTTTTGGGGGGGCTTCCTGGGGGTCCCTGGGCCACGTTGGGGGCGTCTTGGAGCCGAAGGCTCGAAGTGTCCGTTCCAGTTCGCCGTCCAGCTGACTGGGAGTCTCTCTGTCCGTCTTGGAGCTCTCCTGGTGGTCCTTTCGCCGTCTTGGAGCCCTCCTGGTGTCAAAAGGCGAACCTGCTGAAAATACATTTTCACGGAAAGGGCTTAAGCCCAGGGTTCTCTTTTAGATGGTTTACCCCCGGGTTTGACTTGAGGTGGGCCGGCGAATTTCTTTTGCGATAAATATCGAGGTCGAGGTGGGCCGGCGAATTAGCATTTGAGGATGTCTCGAGCGAACCGTTTGTTTTTCAGAATGTGTTGAGGGTGTCTCGAGCGAAACGCTTGTCTATATATATATATATATATATATTGTCCTCTCCTGGGGACCAGAATTCAGAGGATCTCTGAGGTGAAATGCTTGTTTTCACCTGCCCAGGTCTTTAGGATGTCTCGAGCGAGACGTTTGGTTTCACGCCTCCAGGTTGCCCTGGCAGAGGTCTAGCGCCAGGATTTGTTGAGGATGTCTCGAGCGAGACCCTTGGTTTCACGCGTCCTCGTCGCCCAGGCGGATGTCTAACATGAGGATGTGTTGAGGAAGTCTCGATCGAGATGCTTGTTTGCACGTGTCCAGGTTGCCCAGGCGGATGCCTAGCATGAGGATGTGTTGAGAATGTCTCGAGAGATACGCTTGTTTTCACGTATCCCAGTCGCCCAGGCGGATGTCTAACATGAAGATGTGTTGCGGATGTCTTGAGCGAGACGCTTGTTTTCTCGCTTCCAGATCGCCCAGGCAGATGTCTAGCATGAGGAGGTGTTCATAACGTCTCGAGCGAGACGCCTGGTTTCACGTGTCCAGGTCGCCCAGGCAGATGTCTAACATGAGGATGTGTTGAGGATGTCTCATGCGAACCACTTGTTTTCACGCTTCCAGGTCGCCCAGGCGGATGTCTACTTGTTTTCACGCTTCCAGGTCGCTCAAGCGGATGTCTAGCATGAGGATTTTGACAGGATGTTTCGAGCGAGACGCTTGTCCCCACCACGTTCCGTAGCGCGTCCGCTTGGCACGTCCCGCGGTGCGTCCCCATGGCACGTCCCCTAGCACGTCGCTTGGCGCGTCCCTTGAGACGTTCCGCGGCGCGTCCTACTGGCATGTCCCTCTGTCAATTAGCTCTGGGGCAGCTACTATGTGTTCAGGCAGCTCGAGCTTAAGATCCAGATCAGTTCGGTCAGGACTCGGATGCAAAGGAGGACTCGATCCACAACGCTATAGAGCACAATCGCAGCATGGCACATCGCAATTCAGCACGGCGCAGCACCGCACAGACTTCGGCACGGTACATCAAGATCGATACATTCAGCATTGCAATTTGGCACGTTCCGTGGGGCGTCCCTTGACGAGTCCCCCTGGCACGTCGCGTGGCGCGTCCCCTTGCACATCCCGTGGCACATCCATTGGCACGTTCAGTGGCGCGTCCCCTTGGCACGTCCCGCGGTGCCACCCCATGGCACGTCCCTTGGCACGTCGCCTTGAGCGTCCCTTGGGACGTTTCGCGGCGCGTCCTCCTGGCATGTCCCCTTGTCAATCAGCTCTGGGGCAGCTACTATGTGTTCAGGCAGCTCGAGCTTAAGATCCAGATCATTTCGGTCAGGACTCGGATGCAAAACAGGACTCGATCCACAACGCTAACGCTATAGAGCACAATCACAGCACGGCACATCGCAATTCAGCACGGTGCAGCACAGCACAGCCTTCGGCAGGGCACATCAAGATCGATACATTCAGCATTGCATTTGCCCGTCACCCAATCAGGTGTCTTTGAAAACGTTGCCATGCGTTACATTTCTATATTCCTTTCCGGGTTTGTGGGTCGATCATGTTTCGCTCTTTGTGTTTGGGGGTCTTTTGGGGAAGCCTCTTCGAGGCTTCTTGGGGGCCTCTTGGGGCCCCTAGGGGCCTCTTGGAGGCCTCTGGGGTGCCTCTTGGGGCCTCTTGGGGGCCTTTGGGGAGCGTCTGGACGCCTTTTTGGAGCCTCTTGTGGACTCCTGGGAGCCTATAGGGGCGGACGGCTGGAATGTTCGTTTCGTGGTCATCCTTTCAGGCCCCTCTTGGGGCCGTCTTGGAGCCCTTTCGGGTTGTTTTGGGCGCCTCTTGTGCCGTGGTTGGGGCTTCTTGGTATGGGGCCGTCTTAGGGCGGTCTTGGAGGCAACTTGGAAGGGCTTCCGCGCTGTGAAGGCGGAAAAACCGTATGTACTAGAAATGCACGGTTTCCTAAGGGCATTTGAAGATTTTGGCCTCTTGGAGGCCGCCTGGGAGGCCTCCTGGAACGTCTTGGCGGCCTCTTGGGCCATCTTCGGCCCATGTTAGGCGTCTTGGAAAGATCTTTCGGCCCATGTTAGGCGTCTTGGAACGATCTTGCGGCGTCTCGGGGCCCTCTTGGTCCGTCTTGGGGGCCTCTTAGGCGGCCCCAGAAGCTGTCGTGGACCTCCAAAAGGGGCCTGGGAAGGGCCGGACTTCCCTGGTGAGCTCTGGCCGGATGACCCCCCCCCCTCCGAATCGACCGGACCGGGCTCCGGGGGGAGGGGTTTGGGGAGGGGGAAGCATCCCACACGTTGGTGATCCCCAAGGGGTCGGCGGATTCTAAGTCATACAGTCAAGCTGGATCGGAGCGGTTTGGCACTAAATCGGGCGGTCGGCGGGCGGCCAGTCATATGGGCGGGCGTAAGGGCAGTAGCGAAGAATATGCCTGCTCTCACGACCCACCCAGAATTCCACATTGTTTCTCACTGCGCTGGCTGCGAAGTTGGCATACGTGCAAGTCGCCGTTGGTGGGTACCACGCAGTCCTGTTCCGAAGCGGAAGTGGCTCCGTGGCCCTCGGATGGAGTGATGCTGGTCGGTGCGACTTCCTTGCGCTGCTCGCGGACCTCACATACACGCAAGGCGCCGCTAGCGGGGGCCACAGCCCTGCTCAGGAGCGATAGCAGCGTTTTGGCCTGCGGCTGGAACGAGGCTCGTCGGTGCGTTTTCCTTGCGCTGGTCGCGGACCTGACAAATTCGCAGTTCGCCGCTGGCGAGTGCCACACAGTCCTGCCCGTGGGCCATGGTAGCGCTGTTGCTGGCGGACAGATCGGTGACTCACAGCCCCTCTTGGTTTCAGCGTCGGCGTTGCTGCTGCGGGCGTCGCTCGAAGGGGACGCCACGCGTTTCGTGACCTCTGGCGGGGCGGAGCGCCACAAAACCGCAGCGGGGCCCTCCGCTCGCCTCGGGCGGCCCTCCTCGCGCAGTTTGCAGCGGCCTCAGGAGGCAGCTTATACGGTGGCCCCCGGGGAGAGGAGGAGGGGAGGAGAATGTTGGCCGAACTTGCGGGCCTGCGGGATGCGAGTCGGGCAGATACGAGGAGGCTCCGCGGCATGAAGGGTGAATTCCTCGTCTGCCGCCCACATCGCCTCTCGCGCTGCAGACCAGGCGCCCCGACAGAAGAGACGGGGGAAAATACACGCAGTGTCATCAATCTCGACACCGCGCGTGGGTCGACCAGACTTCGCTGGGACCATGGTATTCGACAACCCCGAGACCAAGAAGACTGCCACGCGGCGCCGAGTGCGGCCGAGAAGACGACCGCACGGCCGAGCAGGAGGCGAGGAGGGATTGAAGGGGGAGGGGTAGGGGGAGGGGAGGGGGGAGGCGGGGAGAAGGGAAGCTCAACCAAAAAGCAGCGGGCAGACCCCTACGGCATCCTCCGCCGCTAACTTCGAGGCGGCGCGCAGGCGGTCCAGAACAGCCGACTCGTTGCGCCTCGCCAGGATGAGCTGCAAGGCCTCATCAAAGCCATCGACCATCGACCACACCTGCGACACAGTCGTGCCATTCAGGGGGGGTCCGCGCCGTCGTAACGGTTGGCGGTCCCGCCTTCCCCCCGAGGACTTCGGCGTAGAAGTCGTGAAGGGTTTGGTTGCGCTTTCTCCCAGATTGTTGCCCACACTCGAGGCGATGCTGCTGGCCCCGCACGCCGCACCGCCTTCCGAAGCCGAAGCACCGCCGAGCTTGAGCGCGGAATCAAGCTCGCCATATGCTTGCGAGTATGAGGAGGAGGAGGAGGAGGAGGAGGAGGAGGAGGAGGAGCAGCAGCAGCAGCAGCAGCAGCAGCAGCAGCAGCAGAGAGAAAAGCACACGGACACAAATAATCGTCGATTCCCAGGAGAAAAATATGGGAAGTTGGAGGGGAAAACGAAAATCCAGAAAATATAGAAAATATGGTGAATCTTGGGGTATGTGTCTATGTATTTGTGTGTGTCCTTGCGCCTCTTCAGAGGAGGGGGGGGCTCTGGCCGTCGTCGACGGCAGTGGCTTCTGAGACAAACATTGCACTTCGCGGCGGCGACGACGACAGAGGCGACGGCGGCGGCCACCTGCGGTCGACCAGGCCGACCGCCGGCGGGAGTACACGCTGGAGGCGGCGCCCTCCGCCCCCCCCCCCCCCCGTCGGGACCGGCCGCGCCCCGCGCAGGGCGAGGCGGGGGAGGGTGGGGGAGGCAGGTGCCGCAGGACAGCCCCTTTTCTCCTTTCGCATCAAGGGCGGGCCCGCGCTGCGCGCCCTCATGCGGGAGGGGCACCCCAGGCGCTGGCGCTGGCGCTGGGCCGACGTGGGCATGTACGTAGGGTCAAGACGCTGAAATGAGGAACCCTTCGGGCTCGGGGGGGCTGTTCGCTGCCGAGGCTCGCCGTGGCCAGGAAGGCCTCTTCGTTCCTTGTTCAGGCCTCCCCATCATGGAGGATCGAAACGGGCACGGAAAGAATCGTGACGAAGACCGACAGCAGTTCTTGTCCATTCTGTACAGGATTCGTTGTCGGTGTCGCCGCGGACGTGATCCATGTGAGGCGGGAAGTTGCCTGCTCAACAGCGGCCGCTGTCGGTTTGGGGTAACATTTGTTGTTGGACATCGTACCCATTATTGTTGAGCATCGCTGAGGGTCTCCAAACCTGTCGGTAGCACGATGACTGAGTGCCGCCAGCTTGCTCTCGAGGCTGCAGTGGAGGGGCTTCTGGCGGCGGCGCGCCGCCGGGGCAGGCGGCCACGTTCGGCTCCCATCCTGCGGGCCAAGGCTCGTTGCTCTTCCTCGCAGGAGGGAGCCCGGGGCTGGCGAAGCAGAGGCCCAGTATCGTTTAACGGAGACGCCTCTCAGGGGCCTTGGCGGCCGCACCGCAGTTGGATAGTCAATAGGCGGGTTCGAGCGGTGCCCGAATTCGCCTCGAGCGGCGCTCGAGGGCCAGCTGTACAGGTGTGGAGGGGTGTTCAGCTGCGCCCTGGCGGTGTCCAGACGAGCCTCGAGCGGCGCTCGTTGGCGGCGGTGCTGGAGGGCCCTGATGGGTGCGCTCAATGACCACTTGGCAGTAGTTCAGAGGAGAATAGGAGGATCCCCAACCCCACCCCGCCATGGTATCCCAGCAAAGCCATTCCACCCCCTCGGTTGAGGATAGGCCCCTCGAAACCCGAAGGGAACAGCCTGTATCCCCATCTAGGGGGATAAATAGGCCAGAGGGTCCAAGGCCATGCCAGTGGGGATGGGGATCGGTCAAGCGATGCTCAGAGGCGGGGGGGTTAGCCAGCGCCACGTTCGCCTCCCCTCGGCGGGCCGGGATGGGTTGGGGTCGGACGAGACGAGGTGGCGGGGCAAGGGAGGAGGGACGAAACCTTTTGCGTGCAGTTGGTTTCGGCTTCTCCGCCGGGCGCTTTCCTCGACACATTGGCGCAAGGAGGCGCCGGGGAAACCAGCTGCGTGGGCTGAGTCGCTAACGTGTCTTTGCTGTCCCCCATTTCGCCCGCCCCGAGAGGATTGATGGGTGTGGGTATCCGCCCGCCCATACGGGCGAGAGCACATCTATAGCCACCGCTCCCCACCTGCCTGCGGCAGGAGTCCAGAAGCTGCGGATATGGGGTGTGTTCTGGTGGTGCGTTCCCTTCGATGAGAGTTCAGGGTGATGGCTGGCCGCCCGCTCTCCACCCATTTCCACCCACCCAGTTCCCTTCAGCAAGGAGTGAAGACCAGATTCGGTCGGCCGTGGTCCAGAACCGTGCTTGAAAAGATCGAGCGGCATTCATTCTATCCTGTCTCTTTTTCGAGGGTGGGCCGAGATTCAGTCGGCGCGGCGATTCTGCGCGCGAGCATGCCGCACGTGCGCGGCCAGCCCGCTCTCCACGTGGTGCTGCCTCTTCGTCCCCCCGCCCTCCCGCTCCGTCGTCCTGCGGGCGTCTTCTGACGATCCGAGGTGGAGTTCCAAAGCCAACGTGCTGACTGGCGCCCTCCTGCTCCATGCTTCTGCCCGCCTCTTCGACCGGCGCGCATGCTGGCGAGACGGCGGGCTCCGGGCATCTGCGTCCCGACGTGTCCGTTCGATAGTACGCGCTGCCGTGGCGCTCCCGCGCGCGCAGGGAAGCGCCAGCCGGCACGTGGCGCCACTGGGCCGAGGTCTACAGAATGGCAGGGGCAACGTCTCGGGGGGCTCATGGGGGGGGGATGCATCGGCACCCTTGTTTAAGCAGTTGCGAAGCGTCCTGACCTGCCTGAGAACATGTCGCGTGTTGCACGACATGTTGTCTGAACATTTCTGGCTGAGAACGTCTTGTGTGAATACATCGGCTTCATGTTTAAATAACATTGTTTTGTTATAAGGACATTCCTCTGCTGTTCTACGAGCATGAATTTCTTTGGAAGGTCTACAGGAATGCCAGGACGGCTGGTCCCTGCTCAAATTATCGGCCACGCATCGCCGATAAAGCCCGATAGCCCACCCCACCCCACCCAGCCCACCCATTGTCGCGGGCCTATCGCCAATCTATCGGCGATGTATCGCCGAAGCTCGATGTTTCCCTTCCTGAGCCGGTCCCCCTGATCGTTGTATCTCAGCGGCGCCACTGAGCCGAAAGGATCTCCAGAATGCCCCAAGATGGCCATGTAAGGCCCGCAAGAAACCGCGAAGGTCGACCAAGGCGCTGCTTTGGACAGCTTCGCGGACCGCTCTCGTTTTCCTGCTCGCTCTCGCGCTATCTTGCCTCCAGGGCTCCGTTGCGGGGGCGGCAGCGACCCTTGAGGTGTATGTACCAAGACGCTGTTTGGGAGCAGTGTGCCGGATTATTGCTGCCAGCTTGTTCCACGTCGGCCGTGTGAAGAACGTTTGAACGAAACGCACACGCAACACGTGGTTTGTTCGAAATGTCTGACGTAGATTCTTCCAGACTTTATCCGTAAGGGCTTCGCCCCCTGCTGCCGGCCCCCTCTCTCGGATAATGAGCTATGCAAGAGCTAAATCATAAGGCCTCGGCGCCGCCATGAAGCAACATCGGCAAGAGAAATTGAGATTTACGAGGGTTTATGATTTCGGGGGCGCGAATTTCATTTATTGTTACGTGTCCCACGCCCCCCCATAAATTCTGAGACCCCTCCCAGGAGGTGCTACCCAGGGTGCTTTTCGCCCCCCCCCCTCGCGCGGTCTACAACAGGGAACAGTCAGCAACAAGAAGCAGAACTGTATCAGTGGAAACTGGAAACTAGAACTGGCGCAGGGAACAGCAAACCCTCAGCAAACAGCCTGGTGGCCCCACAAGGGGGCCGGCGGATGACGGGAAGCGTCTTCGAGGAACGAGAAGCGAGCTGGACATTTTGGCTGAATCCCCCTCATATCAGTAAGAGATCTCTTAACTATAGGGGGTGGCGGGTTGCACGGGGAAGAGGCTTAGCGGATTCCTCGGGATGGCGATTTCGCGTGAGACATCCTCACAAAAATGAGGTCTTCGCGACATCGCGTTTAACAAAAACAAGCGTTTCGCTCGAGACATCCTCGAACAGTTGATGACAGCGAAATTTCGCCGTCTGTGAGAATTTGCGTTTCGCTCGGGACATCCTCGAAAAAATGAGATGACGATTGAAGTCTTTAACTAACTCTTCTGTTAAGAATTTCGATTTCGCTAGGGACATCCTCAGAAAACGAGCGGCAGCACGGCGGACCAGAACGAAGAGCACGGCAGAAAATTTGCATTTCGCTAGGGACATCCTCAACAAAATGAGATGTCCTCAACGTCGTCTCGATATCTTTCTCGAAGTACCTCAAGATGACGAAATGAGAGGCCAAAAAGCACGTCAAGATGGCTGTCAGAACGATTGGGGGACTTCCGAAAATAGCGATTTCGCTAGGGACATCCTCAAAAAGTGAAAACATACACCAGCATCGACTTGAAAACTGTTGTTCTTACATAGTTTTGACTTTGCTTCTGAAAAGGCTTCCAGACGGCCCAAGGCAGCCTTCTAAAAATGTAGATTTCGGTAGGGAGATCCTCAATAAATTGATGCGTGCGACATCGCATCGTAATGATTTTCGGAGGGCATCAGGAAGCAAAAGAAGGCCACAACATGGCCCCCAGAGCGCCCTTAAGGTTGCTGAAAATAGTGATTTCGCTAGAGACATCTTCAAACAAATAACAAATCGAACAACATCGTTTTGAACACTGCTGTTTTAACATCGTCTGGGGATCGCTCCTGAAAAGGCTTCTAGATGGTTTAAGCCAGTCATCTAAAAATGACGATTTCGCTAGGGACATCCAGAAAAAATGAATGTGTGTAACATCGGACTGTAACGGTTTTGTAAGGCATCAAGAAGGCCCCAAAAGGCCCCAAACAAGTCCAAATTTGACCACCAGGAGCGCCCTCGAGACGATCCAAAATGGCGATTTCGCCTGAGACATCCTTACACAAATGAAATGTTCACAACATCGATTTCATCAAAAATTAGCGTTTCGCCTGAGACATCCCTTAAACATGGGAATCCGCGAATTCGACAGATGTTCAAAAACTAGCGTCTCACCTGAGACATCCTAGCAAAAATGGTATCTTGGAGTGGCGGTTTCAATACCTCTCATGTTTAAAATCGCGCTCTCGCTGCATACATCCTCAAAAAATCGGGCGGAGCATAGCCGGCGAAAAAGTGCTCCTTCGCTCTTGACGTCTATTCTGCCGTGCTCTTTCGTTCTTGGGGTCTATTCTCAAATGCTCCTTGTTAGTGCGAAGTATGCCTGCAGACGGGCACGGGATTGAGGGGCCCAACGAGATCGACTTCTCTATTCTATCATTCCATTATACTATTGCTCAAGTTTTGAAGGGTTCGCTCGCATGGGCCTCGCGCGCGGTCCCCTCTCAGCGATCGCGGCCGGGGTCGTCCACGGGCTGGTGGCGCTTGGAGCCTGGCGGGTTGCGCCCCCGCCGGTGTGCCCTCGGCCCGTCTGCCCGGCGGCCCATTGCCCCTCGCCCGCGGGGCTCGGCTCGCCTGGCGGGGATCCGCCCGCGGGGCCTGCGGCTCTCTTGGCTGAGCTGCCCGAGGAGCTGGCGGAGGTTCGCGCTGCGGCCGCGCGTTTGGGCGACAGCCTTGGTGTGCTGCAGGCGACGGCGGACGTGGTGACGAGC